TTTCACACCATGCAAACGGGCGGAGACGAACAAGTGAAAGGTTTTTAGACGTCATTTCACCCCGATGACACCATGGATGAGGAGATGCTGATTCTAGAAGTCTAGAAGTAGATTTCCTCCTCTGGAAGGACACAATCTACTGCTTATATGTCTATGTGTCTGTCTTTAGAGAGACAACGTTATCGCCCGGTTCTTGTGAGTTCTCACGATTCCCGCTGTCTGTAATCCACCACGAAATTCGCCTCACAAACAGATCGGAGCTGTTCTGGATGCGGCTGAAATTCTTGGTAAGGCCACACGCTTCACCTTCCCCTCCTCCTACCAGTTTTGCTTTCATTAGCTTTAGCCAATCTACAAAACTGAGCATCAAACAGGTGAAGCTCTGCTCCACCTGCAGCTGAATCACCCCGCCCACAGCGGGCCAAAACACTGATTCAGCAGCGTCTGCCATCCCAAATCACCTCGGGGAAACGGCGAGAAATCCCACTGCAATAACATCACATCAGGTGCCTCAACAGAGAGCAATCAATTATCAGGCCGAGTCTGCGGCTGCTAATGCATCCATCTTTCCTCTGTCTCCACCCGAAAAACTTCTCCTGCTGTTCCCTTTATTCCTCGCTCCTATCTGGGTCTGTTTTTGAGAGGACCGGCAGAGACAGCTTCAAAGGCGGGTTGTCGTTACAGCAGCCGTCTCCCTGCTCACACATAAATATCCCATTAGCAGTCTGAAGCCAACCGAGCCCGTCTACATACAGTAAGCTGCTCCGACGTGCCCATTAAATATTTAGTCCTATAGGCTACTGTGGGTCCTGGACGTGTGTTAAAAGAGAAAAGTCAATGTGTTTTTGTGATTTGGTGTTTGTGTGTTGGACTTAAACTGTGTGAGTTCGACATGATGAAATGAAGACAGCGGGGGGCTGAAGAGATGAAAGAGCTGCGAGGCAACAAACAAGAGAAAAACCCCAGAGATGTTTTTACGCTTGGAAATAAAACTACAACATGAACGAAGAAAGTTTGGGCGCTTTGTAAAGAGCCTTAAAATAAGACTTGAAGGTTTTTAAACGACAAACATACGCTCATTTTATATTGGATTACAGCAACACCAGTAATAAAAACGTTTGAAACCAAAGGAGACCAGATTCTGGAGTTTAGGAAGTGAAATGTTGTCCAGAATTTTTGCTGCTCAACAGTTCAGGGTCTCCTTGGTCCTGTTTTTGGGGTCATGATGCTCCAAATGTTTTTAAAAAGTCAGGACCGCATTAGTCCAGGACTCTTCTCCTACAGAGCCATGCTGTCATCAGAATGTGGTTCAGGACCATATGATTGTAGGCCCACGTCTCGGTAGATCTGCCTGTTATGTGCAGTACATGCCACTGTTGTCCTCCCTCTTTTGCTGCCAATATGTTTTGTGTGTTTTTGTTATGTGTCTGATGCTGCTGTCCTTTTTGCTTTTGATCTATTTTTTTGTACACGGTGAGACTAAAGACAAATTTTCATTTGTGGACAATAAACGAACGAACGAAGGTCTTACCTGGAAAGGTCTTTGTCAGACCTTTGTCAGGAGCAGATGTTGCTCCTAAACCTGGAGATGGAGGTTTCACAGATGACATGGACTCTGGTGATCCCCATACCATCAGGGACGCTGGATTTAAAACAGGAGCTACTCTTTAAAACTGAGGATGCAGCATCTATGATTTCCAGTTCTTCGTTGAAAGGACAACTGGACTTACTTGAGACGTCTCAAGTAAGTCCAGTTGTCCTTTCCATGCAATGATTTCCACTCCAGAGTCCTGTCTGTTTTTTATTTCCCTGAAGATCAGGACCCTCCAGTCCTGGTTTTGGTCCTTGTCCCTATAATACAGAGATTTTTCCAGATCCTCTGAATCTTTGAATGATGGAAGCTCACACAGTCTCTCACAGAGAGCTGATCCTCTTCCATCTTTCCTTCTGAGAGACTCATCCTCTCTGAAAGTCCAATTTAGACCCAGTCATGTGACTAATCTATTGGAGATTAACCTCACTACTTGGAGATATTCCTCCAGATTATTATTTTTTCTTCCGGGTCAAAAAATGTTCAAAAACTTGTAGCTAATCTATAAAGTTGATGTTTGACCTGATTCAGTAAGTGAAAAGGTCAGAGCGTGTCAAAATAAATAATCTAATGGGGCGTGCACGCCAAGTGAAAATAAAATCATCTACTCGCGTCATTCAGGCATATCCAGACATGTGAATGAAATGTACTTATGTACTTAAAGTACTTACCTGCTTAATTCTCGCAAATGATTTGCGAAAATCATTTAGTCGATTTGCGCAATTCACACGTCAACAGAAAAGCCGTGGGTAGCCGTTCAAACGGCTGGATCAAGTAATAGACAACGTTTTTTCACAACTCACCGGATAATCCGACCACTTCACTCACTTTCATCTAGACTTCTAGCCGTGGATACGATAGAGGGGCGGAGTCTCCATCAAGCATGGTAGGAGTGAACCACGTTCAGCAGATTTCTGCTTTGTTTTTGTTGTGGAAGGACCACAACCATCAGAGATGTAGGCATTGCCGTGTCTGGGTCTCCTCCAATAGCTGCGTCCAGATGATGACCGTTTCCAGCGGTAATTTCAGGTTACCCGACCCAAATTTGACGACCTGTTGGTGAGGGTCAGTGCCAGGATATCCCTCCAGGATACCGATTACAGGCGCTCTGTACAGTCCATCTGTCTACTGTGAGTAAAAGGATTTGTGTTTATATTTTCACACCAGTCAACATCTTCTGGTCTGTTTTCATACGTCACCCAGGAATCTTCATGCTGATTGGTTATTGCGATGCGGATATCCACTCGAGATATTTTCAACTCTCAAGAATTCACATCATTCGCACCGCAGGAGTAGTGCGAGCGTCTAATTGCATCTTTGCATTGACTTTGCATTGCCTGGTGTGAACGTCCCATCACAGTTTCAAAGATGTTTCAGTTTGGATAACACGCCGACGTTAGCGCCCCCAAGAGCACAGGCGACACGGTCCAGGTTTCCACAAAGAGATAAAACACCCATCCTTGATCAAACTGAGCAGTTTGGGAGCAGGAGGTCCACTAACACAGAGATGTTTGAGAGAGTAAATCATTTGTTGTGTTGAGTGTGCGTTTCTGTGTGTGTGTCAGTGGTGATGAATGGCCGGCTGCTGCAGGACGTCTCGGGGCCGCCGGCTGTGATGATGGCAGAGCAGACTGTTCTAATGAAAACTGACTGTGAGGCTCAAGTTCAGCAGCAGAGGAGACTTCAGGCAATATTTCACTTCAGTATCACTCTGTCACGCTCAGAGGAAAAAACACACGAGCAGTCAAGCTCACACAGAGACTCTGCTTTTGTTTTATTTGATTGTCGTTCAGCCTCAGAGTGCGGGAGACTTTCTTCAGGCTGATCAATCATGGAGAGACCTGACAGGGTCAGCGTTATTGAATCTTTGAACAAAACTACCAACTAAAGTGACGCTCTCCTCCAAACTTGTCAGAGAGGAAGGTCAGGGAAAACCTTCAGCAGCAGTAAATAATAATAAATAACTTTGGATTCTTCTGTGCCTAACATTCAGCTGATCTCCTCAGTCTTTCACCGTTTAGTTTCTGGGACCAGCTGGTCTACACATCCTGGGGTCCTGTTTGGGTCTGGATGCTCCACTTGGCGCAGACAATCCTCAGGCAGGCGGCGCCAAAGCTGCTACAAAGATGGCCGGCCTTCCTGTCCCACGAGGAACTAGATCAGGTCAGTGAATTCATGTGCAGGTTTGGGATGTATTTTACAGTCAGGAGGGTCGTTGTGGGGCGGGGAGGAACCAGAGTTAGATTCAGTTGTTTCTTTAGTAGAGTTGTTCCGATTCCGATATCAGTATCGGTAATTGCTCTGATACTGCTGAAAATGATGGCATCGGTATCGGCGAGTACTGGAGTCCAGGCACCAATCCGATAACAGGTAATTTATTGAATTAGTAAATTACTGGTTAGCTCCATTAGCTGTGTTCTGTTTAAATTCCCTTTGGTGACTGTGGTACCACTTCTGCCCTTTTCTTTTTAATTATTCAAACTTCATTGTGATGAAACAGGAAGAATCATCCTCCTCAGTTTCCACGTTGATGTTCAGTCCATCCTCATCTTTGATCACCAGTCCAACCTCTTTTCTTGCCTGTTTCTCTTCACTTCAGTGGTACCTACACCCCTGACTTTATCATAAGGACCCCCCCGATCATCCATGGCTTTATTTTGCATAATTGTAATTGTCTCTGTGAGATGGCATGAGCGTAATGAGGTTGTGGAGCAAGGTTAAGTTGAAATAATGTGGCTGCACTTTAATTCTTTTAAAATAATTATTCCTGGATTTATTTTGTCAAATTGTTAAACTGTTTTTATTCTGTTCTATTTAAAAATAAATGGCTTAAATTTACTGTATTTATTAGTTTTTTAAAAAGGGTTAAACCTGAGCCAGACTGTATCACAATGATAATCATATCACAGTCATGCAGGCCTGGTATGATGTATATTTTTTATAACATACTGGTATCGGAATTGGTACTCAGTATCTGCGGATACCCACCGCACAAATATCGGTATTGGAATCGGTATCAGGAGGGAAAAATTGTTATCAGAACATCTCTACTTTTTAAAGGAAGGTTAGTAGTTTGATTGTTTTCTGGTAAAAATCAAGCTCATACACGGTTTTAACACCCAAAAACATAAAAATACAAACGATAAAAAGCCTCGTAGTTCATCAGGTTGTTAGTAGAAGATATAATCTAGTATGATCCTGTAAATAAAATAAACATTTTTAATCCGTTTCTGAAAGCTTCTCTCCTCTTTACGTTTATAGAACGACCTCTTTAGTGCAGACTGATTATGTCCATATTTTAATTGAATTGGTTCTTATTTATGGCAGTTTACACGCCTCCTCGCCCTTTCTTGTAGGAAATCAATTCTGCTGTCTTTGACAAAGTCTGGATGTTTTAATAATAGGTATTTTATGTTCTTATTAAAACTCCAGGGAAATACAAGCGGACTTCTGCAGCCAATGACGGCACAGTGTGAAGTCTGCTTAAGCTGACCTTGAATGCATCATGATCATTTAGCTCCTCTTCCTTCTGGAGGCATCTGGATGTTTGGATGGAGGTTATGAAGAGCAGGTGATTGTGGTGCTTCAACATGGACAAGATGATTGCAGAGCATCTGGATGTGTGCATGACTTCACCCTCAAACGTCCGGCAATGAATCAGTGTGTACGAGATCATTTCCAGCGCGGCGCACGCTCGCTCCGTCTCCATAAGGACCCCACTCATCTCAGCCAAGGGCGCCGCAGACGTTCCTCCTGACAGACGAGAAACTCCTCCACATCTCCCTCCACCTGACAACATCTCCATCACTCCCCTCATCCTCCTCAGCCTCTCCATCTCTGTCTCCATCCACACACCTCCTCCTCCTCCTCTTAGGAGATGAAGAAGAAGAAGAAGAAGGAGGGAAGACGGACGAGTATATGAGGCCCAGCATGGAGCCGCAGTAATGATGCCTGTGATGGAGGCAAAGTGCAGATGGATGAACGGATGGGAGGATGAAGGGAGGGAGAGGGCGCAGCAGGGGGTGGAGACAGAAAAGATGAGATGAAAGTGGAGGGACTGATGGGAGAGGAGCAGGTCACACTTCAAAAAACCATAATTTAAGACTGGACTTCTTCTGCGCTCCTCCTCCTCCTCCTTCTCCCTCCTGTTTCATCAGCTCCCTCTGCCTCCGGTGCTAAATGATGCAACGTGCTATCAATAGTGAATGTGTGAATTCTGCATTTTTCAGGCTTTCCGGCAACATACCAAATGGTACAGTAAGTTCCTCCTATACACACACACACACACAGAGACAAACACACACATATAGGGGTGAGAAACACAGTCTTTCACACCCACCAGGAGGCTGTGAGCCAGCGTTATCTAACTCCCACAGACAGCTCGCTGCTTAAAAACGGACAGAAATTGGGTCATGTTCTAATTTGCTGCGAGGGAGAGGGCGAGGGGAGAGAGAGGCAAAGATCAAACTCATGAAAAGAGGAAGAATAGACGAAGAAAGAGCCTCATCAAAAGAGCCCAAAAGAAGCTGAGAGTCTAGTCCTTCTTTAAATGAAAACTGTCCCACTTCAACCGTGAGAGGATCTGGATTCAGCTCCGGGTTTTTAATGAATGACCACCGGCTGAACTGCAAAAGAGGGAAGAGCGTGAGGATGAATTATTAAAAAACAAAGCGGCGTCTTGTTCGGGTTTATCAAAAGTGCGGTTGATTTCCTTTTTTTCCTCTTGCACTCGAACTTTGATGGACGTTTTTCATCACGGCAGAGGAGGAATTTTACAAGACATGGGAGTTGCAAATTCTGCTTGTTATTTCCGGTCCCGCATCTCGGCGTTGCTCGTGAATAACACATGATGTGTCAGCGCACCAGTTTTAATAAAACTTCACACATCACAGAGACTCATCAGCCATCTGTGAGCGGAAACAAAGAGACGCTCTCAGGACGGGGACTGAGAGGAGGTCTGTGGAGGGGGGACTCTCGTGAGGACGGTCTATGTACTGATTTTGACGGTAAATTCAGAGTGGAAGTAGATAAAGATACAAGATCAGGACAACGCATTCATGATCAATGAAATATTTGAGCAGGATGAGACTTTGTCACTTTAACGTGTAGAGTGCAAAACAAACTAGGACTGGTTTGTCCACAGGGGGCGCCAAAGTTAACATAAGAGCTTTAATATCGGATTATGAAATCACTGAAACTACTTTAGGTGCTGTCGAGGCAGGTCGAGTTAAGTCCTCATGTTTCTAGGGCTGGAAGATTTCGGCCAAAAATGAAATCCTGATTTTTTTTCTCTAAAAACTCAAATTTTTCGATTTTTTTTTCAGTAACAAATTCACCAAACTTTACCTCAATAAAAAGCTTTTCTATGATCTCTCAAAACCAAACCACTGAAAAGGATGTGGTGCTGTGATGGTTTTCACAGCATCCCAAACGGCACCGATCCAGAACGTCAGCGATTTTTGCCGTCCTCCAATTCCTACCAGATCGGTTTGTGAGGCGAATTTCGTGGCAGATTACAGACAGCAGGAATCGTGAGAAATCCGCCTTAAACACGGTTTCAGTGTTTTATTTTGAAAAGAAGCCCAATGTTTTATTTTGTGTCTGTGCCCGACTTCCTTTCCAGCACGGGTTAATCTGTGCTGAATTTATCCGCCATGCTTCGGCGTCCAGAAAAAATAGAACTCTTGCGATCAGCTGCGGAACAGACAGAAGCCGGTAGAAATTGAACCAATTACTTGAATGGTTACGATCAGCTGTGATTGACGGATACGGCCTTTTCATAGCCGTTCTGGATGCAGTGGAAAATGGGGGTAAGAGACGCTGTAATGCTGCACAGGAAATTCATGAAAGACAGTAGAAGAGTACAGAGCATGTGTATAAAGGTTGTTTTGGCGCCATAAAAGAGTTACTCTGTGTGTCACATGATCATTTCCAGAGATGCAGATAGACATCCACACGGAGATGAAATGGTCGTCGTTTACAGATTTATTCACTCTCTGACCCGTTTTCAAAAAGTACCGTTTATAGTCACCTGAAACGCCGTTTCTGTGTTGATGAAACGCCGCTACGACAGAAAAAACTTTAGCGTTTCCTCCTGAATTCGTTTCCGTGGTGACGGGTTGATACCACCTTGAGACAGACTTTGCAGCGGGGAGTGGTTTGTGGTGGTGGTGAGTGTTTTGCTCTTCATCTGAAACTGTGAAGTCGTACCAATTCAACACGACTGACTCGCTCTTGTCCTATTTAACCACGAAATTATCGCCTTCTTTTGCAAACGCCATGTTTGTTTACAGTGGTGGAGGGAAGGGAGAGCCTACGGTGGCCTGGAGAGGTGAGACATGACAGAGAGGAAAATTGATTTGATGATTAAAATTTTTTTAACATTGTCATAATCAAATAATCTGATTAAGATTTAAAATCGATTAATGGTGTAGCCCTAGTTTCTAGGATCACATGACTCTGAGGTGAAAGCGTTTGTTGTTTGAGTTGAAATAAAGTAGAAATCCTCGTTTTGACTTCATTGTAGTGGACAGACCAGCTGACAAACACTATCATCCCCAGAGCCTCCAGAGTTAAAGAGGAGCACACAGATCCAAACACTGGCCTGGATAAAGAGTCTGCAGAAACACAGACTCTCTCTCTCTCTCTCTGTGTCTCTGTCAGGGGTCATGAATAATTTCTCTGCAGGGAGAGGAACAGATTTTCCTTCCAGGTAAGAAACATGTAGGCCAGAACTCTTCACATCTCATGTTTTCATAATGTGGAGCAGCAGCAGAGAGGAGCTGTGTGATCAAACACGGAGCAGGAGCGTCGTGGAAACACGGAGGATCAGGTCATTTTCTCTTCACACACTCCTGCACACAAACACAAACACAGACAGCTGCTGCTGCTGCTGCTGATGCTGCTGCCAACAATGCAGAGGAATCTCAACCTGCAGAAGCTGAACTGGAGATTTGATTTTCTTTACAGTTTGAAAATGCAAAACAATATTCCTGCATGCAGCGTTCCTCAAGTTTTGTTCATGGATTCAGAACTTAATCTTGGAAAATCTAAATGTGAATATAAGAGGACGAACAAATCAATAAAAGACGGAAAATGATCCTCAGAGGGAAGAAAAAAAACACCTTATTGAAGGAAGATTTATGAAAAAGCAACAGGTCTGAGATAGAAGAAAGAAAGCAGCTGAATCCCAGGGGAAATTTGGGAAACAGTGTCAGTGACACCTCCCACTGAGACCTTCACTCACACACACACACATTCACACACAGACACACACACACACGGGCTGGCATGTGTTCATAAGACTGATCTGATTTGACAACAGGCATCTGTGCCCTGCAGATCTGCCACCTTCATTTTTATTTACCCAAACAGTCACGCACACTCCCCCCTCTCTCCCTCTCTCTCTCTCTCTCTCTCTCTCTCTCTCTCTCTCTCGTCTTCGTCTCATCACTGCCTCTCTTCTTCATTACACCACAGACCCCCCCTCCTCCTCCTTCATCCTCTCATCATTTTCTCTTCCCTGTAATTCAAAGTGAAGCAGCAGATCACAGGAAGGAGCTGTGGGCCAAATTGAGACGTGACTGTGAAAATAAGGAGAGTATAACGTCTCGAAGAGCTCTGGAAAAATAACACACCGAGTTTCTGACATGGATCCAGCTCTGCGGTCAAGTTTCTCGAGGTAAATCCTTGATTTCTGACTGAAACATGACAGGCTTACCATTAATTATGTCTGATCAGAGGATTTGTAAATGTTCACCGAGCTTTTAAATAAAGTTTCACAGCAGGACCAACAGGAGAGTCTGCAGCTGAAGATCTCAGGTCTTCTGGTTACAGGATTACTGGAATTAAATGGGAACACAACAAATGTCTTAGAATAAACAAGCATTATGATCCACAGAGGTCCTGATCAGCCGTGGATTGTACACCTGTATCAAGTCTCATTAGTCAGTTGGGTGGGAGGAGCCATCGCCCCAAATGTGCACACCCATTTCTATGACTCAAGGTATATCACTCATGCAGCAGTCCTGACTCTAAAGAAAACAAACAATCGTATCAAGACTGAACTAAAATCTGTTTCTGCACATCCATGTTTGTCCTGCTGATGCTTCAAATATCAAACTGTTGTTCTTTATGCAAAGTTTACTTTTCACCATGTTTTTGCCCCTTTTACCCTCCAGAGTCAACGCTGTTCTCTCTGATATCTCTCTGATTTTTGGTTTTGTGCAGACAAACAAAAACAAATTGGGTTAGAGATAATTACATAATAATTAATTACAATAACATAATAACATTTGAGAGAAAGAAACTCTAATAGATCAAGTAAAAATAAAAAAATGTCAGTCTTGTTTGTTTTGGGATGTCAAGAAAAAGCTTCAAAGTCTGACCAAAGAAGAAAAATACAAAAAAGACTTTTAACTTCATGCTTTGCCTTTTTTTCAAACAGATTTTGTTTTAATGCTTTTCCACTGATAAAAACTAAGACACAAGACAAGACAGTCCGGCTGCAGACCTCTACTGTCAGGACCTCCACTGTCAGGACCTCCACTGTCAGGACCTCCGCTGTCAGGACCTCCACTGTCAGGACCTCCGCTGTCAGGACCCAAGGCGACGTTTTTTTCTCCAGTTTGTTTTTGGCGTAAAGATAGTTGAGAGACATGTAAATGAGTCCAAAAGTGCAGAAGGCGACATTTTCAATGATAAATGGTATAAAAGCGAAGAACAGTGTGCTGTTGGAGTGAAGATACTTTATACTGTCACATATATTAAAGTTTTTAAAACAGAGATTTATTGTTTTAAACAAAT